ATATTTTTTATTATTATTATTATTATTATTATTATTTGTTGCTATATGCCATGGAATGAACCTCCAACAAGTTTTCAGAGCTATAAATTGGATGGGAAGAGATTGCCACTTTATCTCCTACAGAGTAACTGGTGGATTAAACCATGTGCTTTTGGGTTCACCACACAATTCTTACCATTAGGCCAACAGAACTCTGTATATATATAACTTCTTGTTGTTGAGTCAGCAGTGACCCAACCTTCCAGCGAGTTTTAAGAGGCAGTAAATTGTACTGAAGGAAACTGCTTATCTCATGGAGCAGTAGGTAGATTCTAACTGTATACCTTTGCATTGGCAGCACAGTTCCTTACCACTAAGCCACTAGAGCAACCATATATAGTTTAGGAACCCTAACAGTGCAATAGTTATGTATTCATTTGCTAACCCAACTGTTAGCAGTTCCAGCCAATCAACCTCAGCAGTCTACTTGCATCAAGATTACAACCTTGAGAACTTGATGAGTCAGTTCTGCTCTTTCTATACAGCCATTGTGGATGGGCATTAACTCAACATCAATAAATTTGGTTTATATTTGTGTAATTAATTTATGTGTATTTATCCTTTTTTTTCTGATAGAAAGACTTTCAAAAGAATGATAAAGATTTGAAGAGACTGGAAAAAGAGGTAGGAAATGCTTTCAACTCAGTGTGTATGAATGTGCTGTATAATGCAAAGATAATTACCTATGTTAAGAAAGAAATTTAATCTCCATTTTAGAAATTTTACAGTGGGCAAATATGTCATTCAGACTAGTATTACAGGCATCTCTTCTTTAGCACTGTTACTGCCTTTTAGAACCTAGTTATTAGTGTGCTAAGCTGGCAAAGTCAAGTTGTTTAGCATATCAAGGGACATATTTATAATCTGCCCTGTTAATCTACTTCCTAAGAAATAAAAATATGGATTATTAATATCATTAGAAACAGGATCAAGTATTTACATTCACTTATAGCCCACAATGAAGGCTCTGGCAGTTTACTAGATTAAATGTTGAGCTGCCAACCTAAAGGTTAGCAGTTCAAATCCACTACCAGCTATTCTACAGGAAAATGATGGTAAGATCTCCACAGCAGTAAATTTGGGGTTGGTTTGATATAATACATGCTTTTCCTGTAGGCTAATCTAGATTTTGGAAGCAGGAGTGGCATCCACTTCCTAAACAACTTGCCTCTGGAAACTCTATGAACTTTGATAAATGTCGATAGTTGTAGAAGAGATTCAGGCCTTTTGTTCATAGGGTCACTATTAGTCATGCTCAACTTGAAGGCAATCACCAACAACAACAATCTAGATTTATTGCCTCTGAAAACCTGCTAGAGGGTCAGCTATGAGTTGGTTCAGCCTCAACAATATACAATAACAGTCTAGATATAGGGAGCTATGGTGGCATTCTCTTGTAGTGGCTTGCTTGGCCGAACTTCTCTAATCCACCAGCAACTCTGGGGAAAATATGAGCAGTTTACATACTCAGAAATCTAAGGAGGGTCAGCTGTGAGTTGGTTCCAGTTCAGTGGCAATGAGAGTTTATCATTTGCAAGCAAAAAATTGGCTGAAGATCATACAGATCTGACCAGAAAAAGATTAAGATTGAGGGGGAGCTCTGGTGGCCTAGTGGCAAGGTGCTGCAACTGCAGTCCCAGAGGTGCACGGTTCGAATCCACCAGATGCTCTGCCGGGGAAGGAGGGGCAATCTCCTCCTGTACCAGTCAGATCTGATTTGACGGTACACGCACACAAAAATAACAAAATTTAAAAAATTAAAAAAAAATATAGATTGAGAGCTACCAGAAGTTCAAGCTGGATTTAGAGAGGCCATTGCACCAGGGATGTCACTGTTAATGACCGATATATCCTAGCTAAAAGCAGAGAATACCAGAAAAATGTGTATATATGTTTTATTGACTATGCAAAGACATATGATTGTGTGGATCACAACAAGCTATTGGTAACATTGAGAAGAATGGGAATTCCAGAAGCATAGAATTATGGTTATATGAAGTCTGTACCTAGATCAAAAAGCTGTTGTCCAAACAGAGCAAGGGAACACAGCATGGTTTAAAATTAAGAAAGGTGTGCATCAGCACTGTATCCACTTTATGTACCTAGTCTGTACACTGAGTACATCATTCAAGAAGCTACACTTTATGAAGAGGAATGTGGCATCAAGATTGGAGGAAGATTCATCAATACCATGATTCATGCAGATGACACAATCTTGCTTAAAGTAAGGAAGACTTAAGGCTCTTGCTGCAGAAGATCAAGGACCACAGCCTTCAATATGAATTACATCGCAACATGAAGAAAACAAAAATCTTCACCACCAGGCCAATCGATACATCATAATAGACAGGAGAGAAGATAGAAATTGTCAATGATTTCATCTTACTTGGAGCCACAATCAACACCCTTCTTACCGACAGTCAGGAGATCAAGAAACCTATAGTATTGTGAATGTCTTCTGTCAGGGACCTTTCTAACGTCCTAAAGAACAATGATGTCAGTTTAAAGACTTAAGGTGTGCCTGATTCAAGACTTGCTATCTTTGAATTGTAGTGTTTAAGAAGAGGACTGAATACCCCATGGACCAACAAGAACAAACAGGTACATTTTGGAGAAAGTGTAGCCAAAATGTTCTTTGGAGGTGAGGATGGCGAAACTTCAACTTACATACTTCAACTTACATACTTTGGGCATGTTATCAGGAGAGCCTGTTCCTTGGAGAGGGACATCATGCTGGGAAAGGTTGAGGTTCAGCCAAAGAGAAGAAGACCTTCTGTGAAATGGACTGATACAATGACTGTGGCAATGAACTCAAGTGTGCTGGGAATGCTGAGGATGGAGCAGGATAGGAGGGGGTTGGGATCTGTTGTTCATGGGTTCCCTATACGTGACTGGAAGGCACCTAGCAAAAACAACAGATGTAAGGACAGTGACTAAGTAGAATATTGCTTGGGGAACTTTAAATTCTAGCAAGTTAGTTAGGTTGTAATCAATTTGTGCCAACCTGATGTGTTCCTCTACCATAGTTACATATTTTCCTCGAGATTGAAATAACCTAAAGTTTCACTGTTAAATGTGACAGGCAGTACCTACTAGCAGTGAAGTGAAGAACTGCACTAGTTCATTCACGTGCTCCATATAGCAAATAGCTTCCCTGCTGGACAGCACGTTTCTGCCATGACAGGTTTGTTGAACAGCACTGTCTTAGGTTCCCTAGAGGAGGAAAATGGAGCATAGTCTTTGGTGGTGTATCTGTTGCACTTTGTGCAACTAACCAGAAAGTCTGCACATCTCTACCTGTTCAAATCCATCAGCAGCTTCTTGGGGGAAAGGTGGCCATTCTCTTGTTAAGATTTACATCCTCATAAACCCAATAGAGTCTCCATAAGTTAGAATCCACTAAACAGAATGCAGGCAATGAATGAGAGGAGTAAAACCAGTGTGGTGCAGCCAGCCAATGGGGGATTTTGCTGTTAACCCAAAGGCCACAACTCTGGCAGTTTGAATCTAACATGTCTTCTCAGGGAGAAAGACGGGCAGTCATGCATACAGTTTACAGCCTCAGAAACCAAATGAGTCATTTCTGACACAATGGCAATGATTTTTTTTCCCTTCATTTTATAGTGAGAGATTGATTTTTATTACAAGGATTCATGAAATAAAAGGCAGTAGTAAGTTCCAGGTCCATAGAAGGCTGGATCTTTGGTGAGTTATAGAATTGCAAGGACTGGTGAATATAAAATCTGCTGCTTAAATGGTTGACCTTCAACCTTGTCTCCAGTTTCCTTGTGGGGTGTGTGGTCATTTTGGTGTTTTCTTCCTGATTGTATCATAGCTCTTGTTCCTAAGAAACCGTCAGGTATCACTATTTTTTAAATATGATTACTTTCTTTTTAATAAAATTTTATTTTAATTGTGATTTTAACCAACATTTACAGAGAAGTTAGATTTTCATTCATTTTTATTGTGCATTTTACCCCCTCCCCCAGTTCACATTCTTTTTAATAGTCATTCATTAATGTACAATTAGCTCCCTTCCCACCACCACACCCCAGGCCTCTTATTCTGGGCTGTTATTGTACATATAATGCCTAATCATAAATTCCTTTTAAACAGTTCTTTCCTTCGTCTGTTCCAATGCAGTGGTTATTACCTATCCACTATTATCCTATTCTCCTCCCAACCCCCTATGTCAGACCTGCTTTATAACAGTGGTGCTATGCAATATTTGTCCTCTTGTGGCTTAGATATTTTCACTCAGCATGATATGCTCCAGAGTTCCCCATATTTTGCAGTGTTTTGTGAGTTCATTGTTTTTCTGTGCGGCATAGTAGTCCATTGTGTGCGTATACCACAGTTTTTCTATCCATTCATTTATTGATGGGCACTTGGGTTGCTTCCATCTCTTTGCTATATTGTAAATAGCAATAACACCAGTAAATATGGGTGTTCATGCATGATTATTTTCTTTCTTGTATTTTTTTGTTCACTTTTCTGTATCTTGTGCTTGTTAAGACCTGAACTGGGAGCAACCATGTCAGCTTCTGGAAGTCGGCTGGAATAAGATACAAGTCCTGGAATGATTGTCAGAGAACATTATACTGCTGTAGAATTTTTAACCCAAATAACACAGGCCTGGACACCTGTGTTTACAGTGGCTCCCAGTGGTTACTGTGTGCTCTCGGGAGCAGAGAACATGTCAGAGCTCTGTTTTGGAATTTACTGGTATTCTTGTTTTCTAGTTTTACAGAAGTGCTAGGTGTTAACCTACAAATTTAGGAACCAGAAAGATCCTTGTGTTCAGCTTAATCCATTCCTTTGATGGGAAAATAAAGGGAATCATTCATTTTCTGATCTTACTCACTTTGTGTAACTTAAAATTAAACTGATTTTCCCAATTCTAGAGACAGTATCTAAAAAATTACAATTTTTTACAATAGAATTACATATTTTTACTTTTCAGTTTCTATAAATGTTCTTCTTTTCCTATAGTTAAAAACAATTTGAAATTTGTGGTCTCTTTTTTGTCTTACCTTTGTTAGCTTTTATACGTGCAGAAAAAATGTTGTATGGCTCTATTATATTGACCATATTGTAAATCTAAATGCATATTTCACTGAACTAATTTCATGTAGTACTGTGCTATGTAGATCGTTTCTATGGGACAAAGAGTTGAATGAAGTTTATTAAGGCCAGAAAGTTCGAGATTCCATTTATGTTAAACTTAGGGAAATTCAAGTTCCCTTTGTTTCTTTAGGAAAGATCTGCTTTGAAGGTGGCTAGTATAAAAATTTCTAATAGTCTTTGATGATTATACTAATATCTTCTAGAAATAGCTTATGTCTTTAGAAAAGTATGAGAACTAAAAAAAAAGAATGTTGCTTTCTACGAAGATGGCACTGAAAGCCAAGAAGGAAGCCCCTGTACCTCCCAAAACTGAAGCCAAAGCAAAGGCATTGAAGGCCATGAAGGTGTCCTGAAGGGCATCCACAGCCAAAAAAAAAAAAAGAAGATCCGCATGTCACCCACCTTCTGTGGCCTAAGACGCTGAGACTCTGAAGGCAGCCCAAATACCCCCGGAAGAGCGCCCCCAGGAGAAACAAGCTTGACCACTATGCCATCATCAAATTTCCCCTGACCACTGAGTCAGCTATGAAGAAGACAGAAGATAACAACACACTTGTGTTCATTGTAGATGTCAAGGCCAATAAGCACCAAATTAAACAAGCTGTAAAGAAGCTCTATGATATTGATGTGGCTAAGGTCAACACTTTGATTAGGTCTGATGGAGAAAAGAAGGCCTATGTTCGACTTGCTCCTGATTATGATGCTTTGGATGTTGCCAACAAAATTGGGATCATCTAAACTGAGTCCAGCGGGCTAATTCTAAATATAAATTTTTCTCACAAAAAAAAAAAGAATGTTGTTGTTGTTGTTATGTGCTGTCAAATCGCTTGCGACTCTTAGTGACTCTATGTACAACAGCCCTAAACTCTGCTCTGTCCTGTGCCGATTGCACTGTCTCAGATACACCCATCCCAATTACTACAGTCACTGAATCAATCCACCTCATAGAGGGTCTTCCTCTCCTGCTCTGTCCCTCCACCCTACCAAGCATGATGTCCCTCTCCAAGGACCAGTCCTTCCTTACAACATGCCCAAAGTATGTTAGACAGAGCCTCAGAATCCTTGCCTCCAAGGAACCACCATGTTTAACCCTTTCCAGGATGAATCTGTTAGTTTCCCTAGCAGTCCATGGTACCCTCAATACTCTTCTCCAGCACCACAGCTCAAAGGCATCAGTTCTCCTTCTATCCTCCTTAGTCATTGTCCAACTCTCTGATGCATAACAAGTGATCGCAAAGACCATGGTCTGTATCAGATGCACCTTAGTCTCCAGAGAGACAAAATTTAAGGAGCCCTGGTGGCATAATGTAGGCTTATTAGCTGTTAACTGAGAAGTCTGAGGTTTGGAGCCACTGGCTGGATACTCTTTGGGAAGAAGATGAACTGTGTCCTCTCATAAATATTTACAGCCTTGGGAACCTGGTGGAAGGTCACTATGAGTTTGAAGCAATGGGTTTAGACAAGTGTTGACTTGTGGTTTTTTTTAGATTTTTACAAGTAAAGTACAACAGAGAAGTAGTCTCATTGCCTCATTCTAACATGTAGCATTTACCTTCAACTTTCAAAATGAAACCATTTGCTAATTGAGAAAATATATCTATGTAACCTTGATTGTTATTCATAATAATCCAACAGCCTACATTTTTGACAAGTTACTATTAAATATGTTGACACATGCAGCAAAAAAGATATTTATTTATCTTTCAAATGGTTAAATACCATTTCAAAGTGAGGATTCTCTGTATTTTAAGTCATCTCTCATAATTTGAAACAGTAATGTTTCAAAACACTGTATGATGTTTAAAAGTTAAAGAATGACAACCTTTAAAAAAAGTGATATATCTTCTTTACTACTTCTCTTTTCCAGTTTACAGTCCTATGCTGTATGCATTCAGTTAGAAACCAAGAATATAAGAATAGTGAATTTTATTGTTCAGAATTTTAAATCTCTTTCTGCCTCTAGCATCCAACTCCCATACTTAAAGTGGTATTTAAAGTATTTTCTTTCACTTGAAATTTTTATTAAGTATTGACCTAAAACACAAATTGGTAAGAATACAAAAATCAGCTAAAGTGAGAAAATTTTTCGTGTAACTTAAGCATGGATGCTTTCTTGAGACTTGCACTTGCTAATAAATAGTCTGATATGGAAAATGTCCAATATGCACTTGAAAAGAATTTGTATTTGGGGGTTAGTTGTTATTTGGTGCCATCAAGTCACCTATGACTCCTAGTAATCCTGTGAACCTTGTGAATCCTAGTGATCCTGAACCCTGCCCAATCCGCACCATCTGCACGCCTCACAGTCTCCAGCACGCCCCCGTCCACTGTGGTTCTCAAAGTCGCACTCCATCTTGTCAAAGGTCTTCCTCTCTTTTCTGAGCCTCTGCCCTTTCCAGCATATTGTCTTTTTTAAAAAAATGGGCCTCTCCTGATACCATGGTCAAAGTATGCAAGAAGTTTTCGTCATCCTTGCTTCTAAGGAGTACTTTAGTTGCACTTCTTACAAAACAGGTTTGTTCTTTTGGCAGTCCATAGAATATTCAATATTCTCTGCAGAACCACAATTTAAAGGCATTAATTCCTCTTTGGTCTCCAGTAAAACAACTTGCAAATGCATAGGAAGCAACTGGAAATACCATGACTTGGATCAGATATACCTTTGTCTTTAAGCTAATGCATCACGTCTTTTGATTTTTGACTGCTGCTACAATGTATATTGATTGTGGATCCAATAAAATGAAATGATTGGCAAATGCCATCATTTCACAATCTGTTACGATGTTGTCTATTAGTTCAGTGGTGAGGATTTTTGTTTTCTTGATATTTCAGGGTATAGTGTTCTATTTAGGTCAATTATTATGCAAATCTTCCCCCCCCCCTTCTCTATGGTGGTCAGTGTCAGTTCAAGTTAAAAATTTTGTCCAAATCATTTTTTCTCTAATATTTTGTATACTAGTTAGTGAGGGGAGTATAATTCATTCTCCAACTCTGCTTGTGAATTAGTCTGTTTCTCCTCAAATTTTGATTTGGATTATTTTGAAATTAGGTTATTAGATACATGATAAAATTAAGATTATATCTTCAATATTTGGATGGCTAACAAATCATTGGCAAGAAGAGAGATGCAAATCAAAACCACAATGAGATACCATCTCACTCCAATGATAGTAGCAGTGGCAAAGTTTAACAAGACAACAGTTAGTAAATGTTGGAGAGGATATGGAGAGATAGGAACTCTTACACACTATTGCTGGCATTGCAAAATGGTACAACCACTCTACTCTAAAAGGCAGTTTGGCATTTTGTCAAAAAGCTGAACATAGGTTGGTCCAAGTGCAGTGGAGGCCACAACTAATTGATCACAGCCAGTTACAGATTTCTTTGTTCCTTCTCTACTACCAGTGTTTCACTTGAGCCATCTTTTTATCAAAAAATCTGAACATAGAAATTCCATATAACCCAGCTGTCCCACTGCTTGTAATATATCCTGGGAAAATAAGAACTGAGGCACAAATGGAGACTTGTACACCAGTGTGCATAACAGCGTTATTCACCATCTCAAGAATGTGGAAACCGCTTAAATGTTCAACCACAATCAAATGGATTAAGAAATTATGGTATATTCACATGTTGTACAACACAGCATGCAGGAGCAATAATTTTGTAAATCACTACCTAACCTGGGAGGGACTGGAGAGTATTATGCTAAGTGAACTAACTCTGTCTCATAAGGACAAATATTGTATAAGATCATTATTATAGAACAGGTATGAGAATCCAAGGGGGAGGAGGATGGCAGCAGATGGGTGAGGATGGGGGAGAGGGGCATTAATCATAGGGTTGCAGAATTTGATGGGTGGAGGGAAAGGTGGGTGAAATAAATGGGAAAGAACTGATGTGAAAAATAATGTATACATACAAACTTTGTAAATAAACCAGTATTTTTTTAAAAAAAAATTTTCTCTTTTCCTCAAATATCAGTGAAATGATATAGGTGTATATGTGATGATTATATTACCTGATGCAATGACTAAAATAATAATTAAAGAAAAATTTTATTTAAAAAATTATGTCTTTAATTTACCTTACTTCATTTCCTCTTTATCATTATCAATACTTTTTTACTTCAGAGTAAAAGGCAACACCTAACAACACCAGCACCTAGCCATCATACCAGTTTTCCTTAGTTAGTGTTTGCTTGGTAAATCTGTTTGGTTTTAGGCAGTTCTTTTTTCCCAATTGTCTGAAATTTCTATAACCTTGCTCCATGGATGGTGCAGAGCAAGGCCTCAAACCATTTCAGCACTGCCCTTACAAGCACTGTAGGAACGCACAGGAGCATTCCAGACCCAGGCTCGCTGGAGGCTTGCAGGGTAAATCTGTTTTGATCCTTTTGTTGTCATTCTGTCCATATTCACTTAAAGTTCATATTATATAAACAGTTGGTAACTACAGACCACTGTCACGCAGTTGCTTCCAGTTCCTGGTGAACTCAGGTGTCAGAGAAGAACTGAGCTTCACCAGGTTCTCAGCGGATTTTTTGGAAGTGGCTCTCATGGCCTTCCAAGGGTTTTTCAGGGTGAACTTGAACCTCCAGCTTTATGTTTTATCAGGGCTTACAGTTTGAAAAACTCAGAAAATAAACAGTTGGGGCCCTTGGCATTTGTAGGAAAGGTTCTTCTCTCTGGAATTTCATCTTTTTTTCAGAACTAGTTATTAAATAAGTTTGGTTTTTGTTTTTTTTTTCAATTTATCAATTTTTTTTTCTAAAATTAGCAGTAGAAAGGACTGTTCATTTTTACTAAAGGCCACCAGAAACATAGCTCTGCCTTCATAAAAAATCCATTTAGGAATTAAACTATAATTTGAATTTGTATAATTAGAACTACACCAAAAACAAACCCCTCAATATTGAATCGAATTTGACTCTTAGCGAAGCCCCATCAGATTTCTTAGGCTGTAAATCTTCAGAGGAGACTGCTTGGTTTTAAGATACATAAATATATACATCAAAATGCAACCTACGATGGTTACAATGTCCAAACAACTAGTAACATTAGAATAACTAAGAGCAAAATGGAAAAATTTGATTTTTTTTTAATAAGTAGTCACATCTTAATTATCAGTTGCATCTATTTTTGTTGGCATTATATTTGCAAACTATTTATCACCTTGTTTTCCTCCAGATTCGTGTTCTTGTACAAGAACGTGGTGCACAGGACAAGCGGATTCAGGATCTGGAGTCTGAGTTTGAGAAAATGGAAGCAAAGCTAAGTGCTGCAGTGAGGGAAAAATCTTCTCTCTCTGCATATAATGCTTCCCTGGAAAAACAGCTTATTGAACTAACCAGGACTAATGAATTTCTAAAAGCTAAGGTATTTGAACCTCACTATACCTTGTGTTAGAATAAATAATAAATATTTTAAATGGCAAGCTGCTTTAAGTAGGTATTAGTTCATCCTTTTTTTAAATTATTCTACCTAGAACCTAAGAAGTTCTAAATGAATATGTAACTTTTTCCTTTAATGTTTCACATTTGCTTACCTTCCCTCAGAATCTTTCCCAAGTAATAAAATTATAGAACTTACATCTAGAAGTCACATTAAAGAGCATTCTCTGAAATAAATAGTAGCGTATCAGCAGGATTCTACTTGGAATTGTTTTTGGTAATAAAATATGAAATGAATAAAAGAATGGACTAAATGTGTTTGGTAGGTAAATTGCAATTGTCAATATTAATATCCTAATAGATCTTAGAAGCTAACTATAACCATCCTACTTGTTGCAGAAGTTGAAGGAGCATCGAAGTCACTACTCTGTTTCATTTAAAGAAGTCTTTTATTCAGAAACTATAATGTATTGGGCCCTTTGTTTACAAAGCATATCAGGAGATAGACAAGGCTTTAGAGAAACCTTTATGAAGTATGAGGTGGAGGTTAGAGCCAATTTTTAGCCGGAGAATACCATACAAAGGCATAGGGACATCTGAAGTATTTAACATGTTTGGAAACTTCCTAATTGGTTTTGACATTTAGGAATATAAAATGTGACACACAGGAAGGGAACTTTGATGGCCTAGTGGCAACAAGCTGCACTACAATCGCAAAGGCGCACTAGTCAATGCCCCCCTGGAGAAGGATGGGCAGTCACCTCCTATGCCAGTCAGATCTGACTCTAAGGCACAAAACAAAGGGCAGGGGGTGGCGGGGACCGGGAATGTGACATACAGGAATAACAGAATGAAGCCATTTTACAAACCTTGACATTCAATTGAGAGAGATGGATTTAAGAGTTAGAAGCATAGAAACATCAGTTTATTGAAATAATCTGGTAAAATGGAAGGTTATGAGCCAAGACAATACAGAGGGAAAGGAAGAAATAGTCCAAACACACAGAAGTAAAAATAGATGAGACTTTGTTGATTTGTTAGAAGTAAAACGAGAAAGCAATCTATTACCATGTATTTTTGCATACAATACAGTCACATAAATAGTGTATTTACACATATACTGTTCATAGAAACTAATGAACTAATGCATGGAAAGGAGTTGGCTAGTCTGCAAAAATCATATGTGCATTATTTGCATAAAAATAGGATACTCCTATAGCACTGCTGGCTCAGGAATGTACTTAAACTATTTGTCTTATTTAGGATGAATGAGAAAAAGTTGAGTAACTTTACATAGTCTCACAACTAAAAAGAAAAAAGTAGCTGAGTTGACACGGTCTCACTTCCCCTAGAAATGCAAAATATCTATATTAAGGGGTTTATTAAACCAATAAAGGCTATCTCCGTACTCTAATGAGCTGTAGAACCCAGAGTAAGGACTTCTGCTTTCAGATGTTAAAAATATAATATTCTCCTTTTGAGAGCAGAATGTAGATGTCAAGCTCTGGAGGCAAGAATTGCTGATGCCACCTCAAACACGTTTCATCTGGTGTCTTGACAGCCAGATGAAATCTAAATCCTCTGGTACATCTACCCCTGGGAATCATGAATCCTGTGTTTACCAAGATTGTTCATGCTCCATAATTTTAAAGAGTTGTCATAATAAATCTCTTGCTGTGAAGACTATTTCCAGGGGGTAGAGGGAGAAAATGGTATAATCGGAAGAAGATAGTTGATCTCCTGCTAAGGAAAGACTTGATCTTTATTACGTACTCAAATTGGTATTAGCCATAATTTAAAAATATGAAAATCAGAAGCATGCTGTATTACCTTTTTTTTTTTCTTCTGAGAATTGTAGATTAGAGGAAGAATTTGCTTGACATGAATGCTAAGCAGCTGATAGAACTGCCAGCTTTCCAAACTTACCACAGACCTTTGTGCTTGGCCAGGGGTATAGATTCCTGCCTCTGCCACCTACTAACTGAGTGGGAATAGGAACTTATCTTTCCTATTTCCATTTCCTCATAAATGAACAACATTTCATAGGAATATTAAAGATCAAATGAGACAATCCGTGAATGCTCAGAGCACAGTACTCAGTGCGTGTTGTTGTTGTTGTTGTGTGTCATAGAGTCAGAACCAACCCAGAACTGACCCCTCCAGCAATTTTCAGAGACAGTAAATCACATGAGAGGAGATTTCCCACCTTCTCACACAGAGCAGTTGGGAGATTCGAACCATTTGCCTTCTAGTTGGCAGGGCAGCCTGTTAGAACTAAACTCCCAGAGCTCCTTATTAGCAACAACAATTACTAATCACCTTCTAGAATAAACAAGATCACAAGTCAATTGCTTTTAATCCGAGTCACGGCACCAAAAAAAAAACCAAAAAAAAAACACACAAGTCAATTGCTTTTATTTATTTATGTAAAAAATTCTTTACTACATTAACCAGAATAAAAGGAAAGCCTACATGAGCATATCAATAGATGCAGAAAATTGTTTGAAAAGGTCAGTACCTCTTCATTTAAACACTCTGAGCAAAGTAGGTCTAAGAAGCTCCTCAGTCTTATAAAGGATATCTACTAATAGTCTACAACCAGCACCACAATTCTTGACTTCTATACATAACCATTTTCAGTACCCCCTGCTCTGAGTAGAAGTAGGATAATGGTGTAAGGAGGCAGTGCTTTATAGACATGTCCATCTTTAATTGTTAAAAGTTAGGGTGTATGAAACCAAACATAATGGAAAGGGAGCAGTTTCACAGATTACACAAGAGAGATTCTGATTTAGAAAGTCTAGGATGGACCCTATATAATCTGTAGTCTAAAGACACAGCAGAGTATGTAGGTGCAGGTTCACAAGAAAACTTGCTTCAAGAAATCCTCCCCTTGAGGCTTGTTTACCTAGAATGCATAGAGGTGATGAATACCCAGGTTACCTGTTTTTTAAAGAAGAAAAATTCATTTTCTTTTTTTTTTAAGAAAAATGAGACACAAGAACAGCAATTGCACACAGTTGTTGTGGTATTGACCAGAGACTTTTTACCCTCTCAGAATATATCCCTGGAAAATTATAGCTCAAATAGGTAGAATAATTAGTATTTAATAACATTTATATGTGAGTTAAAAGGAGCTGTTTCTGAATTTTAATTCTCCCCCCCTTTTGTTATTTTGTACCTAGTTTTCTGAAGATGGTAACCAAAAGAATTTGAGAATTCTGAGTCTAGAGTTGATGAAACTAAGAAACAAAAGAGAAACAAAGATGAAGGTAAGTTACCTTGGAGCATTTGCTGTATCTGGATCTATGGGGCTAAACAATTTCTTTCCTAAAATATATATCCATTGTGTAGAATGTGATGGCTAAGCAAGAAGGCATGGAAGAGAAGCTGCAGGTCACCCAGAAGAATCTTCAGGAATCTCAGGGGAAAATAGCACAACTTGAAGGGAAACTGTAAGTTGCCAAAAGAAAACTATTAAGTTCGACTAATTATGAATTTCTCAACTAGCTATTTCCAAGATATCATCCTTCTTTCAATACTTACCTCATTATCTCCTCCTCATTGACCTGTTTCTCTTCTTAAGTAATGGACCAGCCCTAATCTCTCCATTTTAAGACAGAAAGTTGTAAAAATATATTACTTTTTAACATCATTTGTCTTAATATGTTGTTGTTGTTGTTATGTGTCGTCGAGTCATTTGCGACTCGTAGTGACCCTGTGTAAAACAGCCCTAAACCCTGCTCTATCCTGTGCCAATCTCATTGCCTCTGACACACCCATCCTGAGTACCCCAGTCACTGAATCAATCCACCTCATAGACGGTCTTCCCCTCCTGCGCTGTCCCTCTACCCTACCCAGCATGATGTCCCTCTCTAAAGACCTGTCTCTCCTTACAACATGTCCAAAGTATGTCAGACGAAGCCCCAGAATCCTTGCCTCCAAGGAGCAGCCTGGTTTAATCCTCTCTACGATGAATCTGTTTGTTTTCTTGGCAGTCCAGGGTACATTCAATACTCTTCTCCAGCACCACAGCTCAAAGGCGTCAATTGTCCTTCTATCCTTCCTAGTCATTGTCCAACCCTCTGATGCATAACAAGTGATTGCAAAAACCATGGCCTGTATCAGGCGCACCCCAGTCTCCAGAGAGACACTGTTGCTCTTGAGTATTTTGGAGAGGTCCCTAACTTTAGACCTTCCCATTGCAATACGTTTTTTGATTTCCTGGCTGCTGGTGCCAAGAGTGTTGACCGTGGAGCCGAGCAAACTGAAGCTGTGAACAATCTCAATCTCTTCGCCATCCATCCTGATGCTACCGATTGGTCCAGTGGTGAGAATTTTTGTCTTCTTGACATTAAGCCTCAGTCCATATTGAAGGCTGCAGTCCTTGACCCTCTGCAGTAAGTGCATGAGGTCCTCCTCAGTTTCAGCGAGCAAGGTTGTGTCATCTGCATAACGTAGATTGTTGATAGATCGTCCACCAATCCTAACTCCACGCCTCTCCTCATAGAGCCCCGCCTCTCGGATAATCTGCTCTGCATACATGTTGAAAAGGTATGGAGACAGAATGCATCCCTGATGTACACCCTTCCCAATTTTGAACCATGCGGTGCTACCCTGTTCTGTTCTGACGACTGCCTCTTGGTCCAAGTATAGGTTTCACATAAGCACGATTAGATGTTCTGGGATTCCCATTCTTCTCAGAGTCAGCCACAGTTTGTTATGATCCACGCAGTCAAATCCAAATGCCTTTGCATAATCAATATCTTAATATAGAGGAAAGATATAATTTCTAATATGGTATCTTTCTAATACCATAATCTGAGAAAAGTGGTGGTCAGACCAAAAAATTGAGAAAAACTAGAATAGTAAGTTGTGATTGATGTATGTTCCTAACCTCCTTTTTGGAGGAGCTCTGCAAACCCAAAGGCAAATGTTTCAGATCCACCAACTGCTTCATGGGAGAAGGATGGGCAGTCTCCTCCCAGAGATTTCTGCCTCTGATAACCGGCTAGAGGGTCAGCCATGAGTCAGATCCAGTGTGAAAGCACACAGCAACAGCAACCTCTTTTTCATTCAGAATCAAACCTCATTGCTGTCGAGTCAGAACTAAGTCAAACCTGACCCTCAATAGGTTTCTGAGATTGTAAACCACACAGGAAGAGTGTCAGTCTTTCTCCTGCAGAGTGGCTGATGGATTCTTGTCTCTAGAGAGGCGTGGACTTGATCAGCAGCAGTCCCCACACACTATGCCACCAAAGTGTCAAAGCGTTTTTATTGTTGAACTATCATTTACATATAATGAAATCCACAGGAGCCAAAATATGAC